TTCCCAAATTCCCCCTTCCCAAATCCCCTCCCAAATTTTTGCTTCCCAAATTTCCCATGGCTCTGCTGTCCCAGCTCCTCCTTGTGCTGCCTGTTCTGCTGTCACAACATAAAAATCCCAGAGCAACCTAAAAAATTATCCAAACCCTCACCTGTCTGAGGGCACAAAGCAGCAGGGCTGGATCATTTCCAAGGATTTCTGACCCACCTTGATGAGAATTTTTCATTTCCAAGGATTCCTGACCCACCTTGATGGGAATTTTTCATTTCCAAGGATTTCTGACCCACCTTGATGGGGATTTTTAATTTCCAAGGATTTCTGACCCACCTTGATGGGAATTTTTCATTTCCAAGGATTTCTGACCCAACTTTTTGGGAATTTTCATGGCCTTCATGTGGATCAGCAGGAGCCAGGGAAATACACAGATTTACCTCTCTCCCTGGGCTAATTCTCAGCAATATTTCTGGCCTTGGGCGAATGTGAGGAACCCAGAACTCAGACAAATTGCTCAACTCGCTGGGATTAAGAAAAGAATCAATATTTTGGGCCGTGTGGGTTGGGAGCACGTTAATATTCTTCTGTCTTTCCTCCTGAGCAAAGCTCGGCTCRACTGAGTGGAACAGAGAGCTGGGAAATCCAAACTGGATTTGTGCTGGTCCAGGAATAACTCATCAGTCACCAGTGGGAAAAAAATCCACTCAGGAAACCACCAGTGCTTTTATTTGATGGATAACAAGAGGCGTTTTTACAGATATATCTAAATATCTGTGTCTGCAGGGCTCTGTTTGACCTGCTCCTGACAGGAGCTCTGTGTCATGCACTTGAATGCACCAAAAAAAAAAAAGAAAAAATAGTCCTCGAGAGGCTTTCCAAAGAGTAAAAGCAGAATTCCAAATCCCAGGGGTGAATTCCCAGGGCTGCCATCCCAAATATGTCGTTTTTTTGGTTCATTCCAAGTGTGCAGCAAGCGTTGAAGAGGGAGAAAAAAAAAAATGATGACTAAGGAGCCAAAAGGAAAATCCAAAACAACACAAAAAAAGGAAGAGGTGGGAAGATGATGGACAGTTACTGTGGAAAATGGAAATTTCAAAATTATCCTTTTCCCCTGTCCACCCATAGCCCTGTGCCTGGAAAGGGAAAGGAAGGGAAAGAGGAAGCAAAACTGCGACAGGAGGGAATCAGACCATGTAAGGAAAAGAACTGAATTTAACTGGCACATGCTCTAATCCTTAGTTTATTTCTGGTTAAAAATATAGCAATCCAGTGCAGTGTAATAAGAAATCTGCTGAAAAGGTAGCAGAGAAACAGCTAAAACAGAAGCAAAGCAAAGCTGAGTCCACGAGTCCGGGCTGGATCCAACAACTCTGGATGTGAACGTCCAGGAGGGCTTTTCCCCCTCCTTTGCCCACCCCCAAAATTCCTGTCAGGGTCTCACCCCACCCTCGGGAGCTCCTCCTGCACCTTTCTCCAGGGGATGGGGTTGGGGTTTGGTCCCTGGCCCTAYCAAATCCCAAATCTGGTGGAGCAGGACGGGGAGGGAACGGGTTYTTTGGGGGATGGAGCTGAGAGCACGCTGAGTGTGATGGGACCAGGAGAGCTCAGAACAGGGACACGGCATCTTTAATGAGTTATGCAGATTCTCCGTGGGGACGGGGAGGGGACAAAAATCAAGGCAGGCATAGTACAAAGATGGTAGAAACGAACAAATTAAGTGACATAGAAAAAAAAAAA